CACTGATGGGAGAGGACAGACCTTTGTTCTGATATCCACCTTGACTGAGTTCTGGTGATTCTCTGCAGAGCTGGATTGAAAAGATTTTGAGGCCTTTTTCAAGTTCAATAAAATAATGTGCTCTGAATTGATTAGTGATATCTTCCATCAGACAGCATTAAGTAGCAGTGATATATGTGCCTAGGATGTACTATTCTTTATTTTGAGAGGTGGGAAACTCTAACAGAAACCTGTTGCGGTAGTCCAGGAATGAATCAGGTAATGCTTAGAGTTTTTACATGGCAGCAGCCAAAAGCAGAGATTGTCATGTCAGAGTAAGTGGTTGTCTCAGATAATTGTAGTAATAGCCCCAAGTAATAATGTATATGGGAGGAATATCATGAAAAATCCAGTTCCCTGTAAGTAGTTGGGACTAATTGCTAGTCCTCAGAATGTATATGACATCAACGTTACAGATAATACAACGAAACACTGGTTATCCCTGAGGGAGGATTTACCAAACTTTATTCCTGGTTTATGGAATCAGAATTGGTTTTATTCTAATACCTCCCCAGTAGTTGGTAGGATGTTCTCTGTGTTGCAGGCAAAAACAACAATATCAACAACAGCAAAACACCCTGCAGTTATATCCTGAGAACACACGATACTACTATGGGAGGTAAAGCTGGAAAGCAGTAATAAAAGTATTTCTTGTGAGTTCTAGAGAGTGGATTTTTTGTTTTGAAGAAATTTACATTTGGCAGAGAGGTGATTTAATTTGGTCAGAACCTTAAAAGGTTTTGCTAGGACTCAGAAAATTTGGTTCTGACTCTACATCCAGCTGTGTGACCTTGAGGAAGTCACACAGCTTCCTCTTTTGCAAAACTAGGAGATTGAACAAGATGGGCTATAATATTCTCATAGAATGGAAAAATACAGGCATGGACAAGTTTCTTCCATTGATACAAGTCCACTAAAAATAAAGCGGTATTTAAGGAATGGTAGGCAGCCATGATCCTCCTTTCTCTTTCTTCACAGACTCCTTTATTCACTCAGTAGGCTTTCTTCTCTTTTCCTTCTTTAAATCTTTATGTATTCCTGTGTGATAGTTGTGGCATGTTTTCCTCTTGTGTATGTGTCATTGTCTGAATGAGGTTCCTTCAGGGAAAGGAAACCACAAAGCTGAGTGATTCATGAAATTGCTCAGTATCCTGGTTTCAGGCTTTCCTCAGCAATCCTTGAGCAGGGCCTTCCCCTCGTGGCCAGCAAGGGAACAGCAGTGGTCCTGGGAGAAGGAGCTCTGGAGGTCATTTCTTGAGCCGTCACAAAGCCACTGGCCAGAGATTATTTAGGGCTGGGTTTTTTTTTTTTTTTTTGGTAAGTATATTTTCTTTTCTGAAACACACTAAAACTTTGCCTGTCCTTTTGTCTTGTTATTTTTTCCCCCTAAATGTATAGGCAAGTGAGAAATGTTGAGAGTTAAATTGTTGAAAAAAAAGAAACACTGAGTGTATTTGACTGAAGAATTGATTGTTAAATTCAAATTTGAGCAGGTTTCCTGCTTTACCTATCCAGAAAAGTCTTAATTTTTCATCTTCGAGGGCGTTTTGAGGGTTCCTTTTACAGGAGCTGTTTGGCTGTTTTGGGGATTTGGAACCAGTTGTTTTGAACAGAGCCCTTGGGTAGAGTGAATGGATAGCCCAAAATGTGCTTCCTAGAGCAAAGTTCTGACTGTGCAGGTGCGTATATAGCCAAAGCCTTGCACTCCGATGGCCACCCACAGAGAGTAAGTGCCCGCTGCGTACAGGGGGCAGGGGCTGCTCAGGCATGGAATGAACTAGAGGCATTTCAGAGGGTTTTTTCCTCAGCTTAGAAGTAGGGGCATTTTTCTCAAGCTTGAAAGTAGGGTGAGGTTGATGTAAGCTGAAAGGACACCCAGGAAGGCCAAAAAGGAACAAAATTTGGGAGATAAGGGATTTGTCTGTGGATTGGCCGTAGGCAGAGCAGCCCTGCCCACCACTGTGCACAGGTACTTACCTCTGTCAGTCACTTTTCATGGTTGTGGAACTTTCTGAACTCTGCACATGGATCTGCACACTACAGATAAACGGCTTTTGGTGCTGCTGTTTTATTATGGCTCAGAACCCCTGAAGGCCACTCTTGCTGGGATGTGACACCAGGAAGCCAGGGAGGGGCCATGTTATCTCCCATTGACCAGGGCTTGCCTACTGTTGGTATGGCGAAGGTAGTACTTAATTGTACTTAATTGCTTGTTGGACCAGTGAACAATGGGTAAATAGAAGAGCCCCGAGAAAGAGAACTTCTAAACTGTGATCAAGAGATCTGGAGAGGCACAAGACAGACCCTCGCATTGACCTGCCTTCCCTTTGTGGGAATGGCTTTAATGGGTGCAGAGAGGCCAGAGATGAATAATTTAGCATTTCTTGTGGGATAATAAATTTGAAAGCTGTCTGCAGTGGAGGAAGGATTGCACCCCATGAGAGTGGTGATGTAAAAATAAAAATTAGTGTGGTCAGTGTTGGGGAGAGGTCCCCATTCCACCTACTTGGCAGTTTACAGAAAAACGGTTCACTTTATAATATAAAGTATGCATTTTCCTTGTCTTCAAGGGTAGGGCAGCACAGTTCTTTGGTTTCAAAGGAGGGCCAAGACCTGCTCATCCACAGGGGGTTTTATAAGCAACTGAGATGAAAAGAACTGAGTTGTGGTTTGGGAGAGTGCAGAGAACATTAGATGGAATCTATACTGAGGGTGCAGCTCAGAAAAAGCAGCAGCATTGATTTGGAATCTGAGGAGCTGAAGTTTTAATACTGTCATCTCCTTTCTGAACTCTGCACATCGATCTGCACACTGCAGATAAACAGCTTTTGGTGCAGTCATTTTATTATGGCTCAGAACCCGAAGGCCACTCTCACTGGCAAGGGAGACGTTCTGGAGAATGGTTTTCTGATGAGTGTCACCAGCCAATGCCCCGCTTCTCCCAGGTTGCTGGAATTGTCCCCTAAACTTAGGAGCAAGAAGGAGTAAAAATAATTTAGATTGACAGTTGGTACTTCAAATCTCATTTTATATTTCAGTGTCTAAAGAAAAACACATTTCTTTTCAACATTTTCTTCTTGGTATTTAGACTTTTAAAGTTGTACCTTTAATCTAAGAGAGCTGTATGACTATTTTTGGGGGGGAGGGTGGTAAATATGTCTCATTTGCCTTTCACTTATAGATCTCAAACTGTCTCTATGATCCTTTCAGATAAACACATTTTGATGGGGACTTCTGTGTTGATAGTATGCAAACCTCGCGTCTTTTGGCCTGGCCACCTCTCTCAGAAGAGGAGTTATTGGCAACTGTTTTGTTCTCCTTTCTGGACAATCTCCCAACTTTATTCTGTAACTCTTCCTTTGAAATTTTCATTATATTTTTAATTTCTGAGTGTAAGGTCAGTCTTACTTTCTGAAAGAGCATCCTGCTCTTTTGTTGCGTGTATAAACATCTGGCATTTCTCAGCTGACTGTGTCTTTTTACAAGATTAAAATGTGTACCAAAGGCTTTGTTTGCACCAGGGCTTGTCTGCTGTTGCACACATGGCCTTTAGTTGGGAGACTTCAGAGATCAGAAGCTGCAGTTTTTCCCTTTACCAAGATGGGAATCCTCACCTCTTCTGTCCGGGCTTGCACAGGCCAAGGATTAGCACTGGGTACTCCCTGAGCTGTATGTGAAGTGCCCAAGCCCAACTTCTGTCTGGTGCAGGTTTCCTGGAGTGTCATCTTCCCATGAGGAGGCCCTGTCCTCTGGTATGTGGCTTGGGGTGCTAAGGATATGTTTGTGTGAACCTTTCACTGACCCTAATTTCAGCTTGCTCCTTCAGTTCTTGATATATTTGGGATCTGTGGCATGAATTGACTTGCTTCTTATTAGCTTTTCTCCCTCAGGCGCTTAAGGCTCCAACTCTTCTTTCTTAGTGACCATTTGGCCAAGTGCTTTTCATAGACATCACTTGTCTGGTGTTTTCTCTCCTGTCTCTTTGACCTTGTATATTTGTATATTTTATGCCTTTAACCATTTTTCAAAGATTTTAGAAGGCAGTGGATAGAAATACATGTATTTGATTTCCAACGTGTAAGTAGACCTCTATCCTAATTTGTTTAAACTTGTTTAATAGAGAAAGAGCTGAGATGAGATTGTCATGTAATTAAGCAAAACTGGATATTATTATGCAAACATCAGATTCTATATAGAAAATGTTAGAAATACAGAAATTAGAGCCCTGGCCAAGTAGCTCAGTTGGTTAGCATGTTGTCCCGATACATCAAGGTTGTGGGTTCAATCCCCAGTCAGGGCACATATAAGAGTAACCAATGAATGCATAGAAAAGTGCAACAAAAAATAGATGTTTTTTTCTCTCTCTCAAAACCAATTTTAAAAAGCCTAAAAAAGAAAGAAATACAGAAATTAGATCTTACAGGTGATACCTAAGAAACACATTACACATTTTTTGAGCACTAAGTTTTGGAACAAAATACTGTCTCTACCAAAAAAAATGTGGTGCCAAAAAAACAAACAAAAAGCCCTGGCAGGTTTGGCTCAGCGGTTGGAGCGTTAGCCTACGGACCAGAGAGTTCCAGGTTTGGTTCCCGCTAAAGGCACATACCCCCAAAAAACAAAAACAAAAACAAAAAAAAATGTGGTGTGTTGCCAGTCTTCTCCAGAGTACTCTAAAAATTTACAGGTTTCTGGAAATATATGTATTATGGACATGCCAGTACTAATTTAATTATTGTATATATGTAGGACATGTTTTTAAAACTTACTTTTACCATACTTTTTTTTTTCTATGAAAGCAATACAATTTTATTGTAGAAATTATTGGTAAGAAACAGAAGAAAATATACTCCTCCCACCCTATTAACCAGAAATGACCTCTCCTGTCCTCTGGTTCTATGTTTATACTAGGTCATAATTGGCACCACTGGTCTTCATGGTGTGTCCTCATTCTTTTCCAGGACACCGGGGTTGGGAAATCAAGCATTGTGTGTCGATTTGTCCAGGATCACTTTGACCATAACATCAGCCCGACCATTGGGTAAGTTTCCTCTTCCTCCCCTTTATATTTCTTCCCTTCAAAGCACTCAGAGAGGTCACTTTGTGCCTAAGCCTTCAAGAAGTTTTATCCCAGCCAGTGAGAATCACTGTTAATGGTAAAGACTTTGACAGAAATTCAGTCACTTTTAATTTGTATGTCTGGGCTTACTGTTCTTGTCAGTGATTTTTTTCTTAGCTAACTATTGTCATGCTGCAGTCTAAGGCCATTTCCTTGATCTCAAAGAGCACTATTATAAAAATCATGCCAGCTTTCTTTCCAGATGGAAGATGAGACACAGGACAAATCCCCAAGGCTGTGCTGTAACTTGCCTGCCAGTAAACCTGGAAATGCTGTCCACTCACACAGCAGAGCTGGCTGCGTGGTTTGTGGGAGAGATTGATTTTCATTTTCTGGATTAATCAAATGTCAGCATTTCCGTTCTCATGCTTGGGGATGGAGGAGTGGATCGTTCACTTCTGGGACCCTGACCTTGGAATGTAGGCACATTTTCCTCTTTCCTATGGATTCTTTTGCCAGATGTGCTTCTTCTGTGTGTTTTGCAGGTGCTTGATTTTTCACTCTTTTAGAGCTTGGCTTCACATGTTTTTCTCCCTGAAGACAGCATGCTCCTTGCAAGGTTTCATTTTCCTCAGAAGGGAAACAATGCATGTATATATTTTGGGAATTCTATAGGATTGATAATGGGCAGTTGTCTCTATTTGTCGTAAGTGGAGAAAATTCATGGCAGGACATAAACAGATGCTCAAGAACAGTTGGTTGATAGGCCAGTGGTTGGAGAGGTGGAGTTGAGAAAAACCAGCATATTTTGTAGTTAAAAGTGCCTTAAAGAAACATGTTCATAAAAATATGTGTCAAGAACTGAAGGGTCTGCAAGGCCAACAAGTTAACTCTCCCAGTGTCATGGATGCTGGCAGAAGACACAGGGCTCCTGGGTCAGAGACAAGGGAAATAGAAGTTGCTGAAGTATTGTTTTGCATTGGTTCCCTAACCTCCAATTTCCCATAGGGTGATGAAAAGAGGATCAAGTAACACTCCACATGCAGTATCTTGTATTAATAGGAGAGGAACCCCCAAGTTAGGGAGCCCAAATCTTTTGCAGTGGGCAGTAAGCATATCTGTGCTTTGCTCTGAAGGGTGACCTTATCTTCCCCTTCCAAGGCTATTTGCTATACAGACATCCTTGAAAACATAGTCTGGGAAAAAGACTGCCTCTGCTTGCAAAAGACCCATGGAGAATTGTCTCCCAACATAGTCACTTCTGTAGATTGGGGACAGTTTTATAGAGGAAATTCTTTTCACTCTTCTCTTTGATGTACTTTTTTTTCTCCTTAGTCTGCTAGTTCGTTTTTCTTGATAATAAAAGTAAGACCCATAAGAACAATTAACTCTAAAGTGTGTTTCGGCAAGAGAGACTTTAATCGTCTACATTTTAAACTTAAAAAAAAAAATAAACAAATCTGAATTTCTTTTGTAATGATTTTTTTTTTTTTAATCCTCATCCGAGGACATTTTTCCATTTTTTGTACAGACAGAGTAGGAGGGAGAGAGAGGAAAAGAGAGAGAGAGGGAAACATCGATGTGAAAGGGACACATCGAGTGGCTGCCACCCGCACGACAACCAGGGCCGGGGACAAACTGCAACCGAGGTACATGCCCCTAGCGGGAACCGAACCCGGGTCTCTACGGACCGCAGGTGGACGCTCTAACCACTGAGCCAAACCGGCCAGGGCTTGTAATGACTTTTTAAAAAATGAAAATGCAGTGCATTCTCCTACCACAAGTATGGTAAGTGTTAAATGTAACTGTTAGGTTTAGGTATAAACATCATTAAGCCTATACAAAGTATATCATTTTGGTGACAGTCTCTTGGTCAAAGCAAGCCATAATGCTTTGGGGAAATAAACTCCACTTCATGGTGGGAGGGGCAGCCTGAGGAAGCCTCCCCGCCCCAATGGATCATTGGTAACCAATCAAGTACTGTTCACAGTGCTTTGTCTAACAAATGCATTATAGTTTTGGGTTTTAAAAAAATTATGTATTATATGGAAACTCTCTGTACTTCTCAATTTTTCTGTAAGACTAAAACTTTTCTAAAAAAGAGTCTGTGTATTAACTAAAAAAGTATTTATCTTTAAATTATAATGTTCATTATGAAAAGTTCAGACCATACATAAATATCTAAAAACAAAAATGCTATCTCACACTCTACCTAACATGCTATAGCATGCATTCTATCCATGTAGGTCTTCCTTATTCTTTTTCATGAACACTGATTTCTTGGAAGATGGTGTATAAGAATACTTTAAATGCTATCTGTGTATTTGCTTGACAGAGTCAAGATTAAAGTTTAATTTTTCTGATTATAAAAGTTCATGTGCGCTCTGGCCGATGTGGCTCAGTTGGCTGGAGCATTGCCCCATAAACTGAAAGATTGTGGGTTTGATTCTTGGTCAGGGCATGTATGGGAGGGGAGGTGGCTGGTTGAAATTCTCTCTCACATTGATGTGTGTGTGTTTTTTCTCTTTTTCTTCCTTCTCTCTCTAAAAATCAATAAATATATTGTTGGGTGAGGATTTAAAAACAAAAGTTCATGTTCACTCTAAAAAGCTAAAATACACATTACTTATAAAATAGAAATCATAATCACAATATGTATAGTTTTATGTCCTATTTTCTACTAAATATATTTCATACATGTTCCTATATTACATAATCATCAAAAAACTTGATGAAAATATTTTTTCTGATTATATACTCATCATAAAAATTGAAAATGAAGTAAACCATGAGGAGAAATATAAAAATTACACATGATCTGCCTCCTAGAATAACTATTGTAAACATTGGGCATATTTTCTTCCAGTCTTTTTCCTGTGTACTGTATATATTAAATATTTTTTCATTCAACATTATATTGTGAATTCTGTGCTATTTTTAATGACTATTTTTTTATTTAAGGCATTTAGATATTTTAAAATATTATAAATAATGTTATGGTGTATATCCTTGGGCATAAATATTTACATGTACCTCTTTATTCATTGGGTTAAATTTGTAGCAATGGTTATTTAGTCAAAGAATAAGAACATATATGAAGTTATTGATAGCTATTGCCAAATTGTTTTTCAGAAAGGCTGTCCTTATTTTTGTATGTACTCAACCAGCTTTAGGTGTGATTTAGAAAATTTTTGTATATATGATTTGAATTTTTTTTTCCTGTAAACTTCAAACTTAGACATTTCTCATACCTTAACATTTCTTCATAAACACAATTTTAAATGATAGTAGTAGTAAATTTTGTGGCATTCTGCTTTCTATCTATGTCATTTTTCACTTTTTTTTTGGAGTCACAATTAAGTTCAGCTCCACCATACTTTGTCTTGTTTTATTACTATTTTTTTTTTTCCTCTGTTGATTTCTAAATAGAGTGGAGGGGAGGGAGAGAGAGAAAGAGGGAAACATCAGTGTGAGAGAGACACATTGATTGGTTGCCTCCCCCACAATCCCAGCTGGGGCTAAGGATCAAACCTGAAACCCAGATTCATGCCCTTGACTGGAAATTGAACCCACAACCCCTCAGTCCGCAGGCCAGTGCTCTAACCGCTAAGCCAAACCAGCCAGGCTCAGCTCCACCATTCCGATTTGTTGCATTTTTCTGATATAGTTTATTTTCCCAATTTTAAAATTGCTCAGAATTTCTCCTCTCTCCTGAGATTTTGTGAAGATGTTTCCAAACCACAGTTTCAGAAAAATAAAGCTGGCAGGAACGAACAAATATGTGGAAGATGACATAAATGGAATACTTTAAAAAAATTGTATGCTTATCCCTCAGCTGGTAGATTTGGTGGGCTGGCAATCTGGCTTATATAGGTGTGTTTTGTTTAGCCTGCTTTAAAAAATTTTAAGCCAGTAATGAAAAATCAGGAGATTTTTACCTAATAAACTTGCACTTCTGGCTTCTATTCTAAATCAGTAGGCTTGGAGCACGTGCTCATCTGGCAGAAGCCAGGTGGACCTGAGCCATAGGCGCTCCCTGTGGGTAGACAACCTCCCACTGCTCCATGTTGTCCCCCTATTATTATTATTGCTACTATTTTATTTATTTATTTATTTTTATCCTCACCCGAGGACATTTTTCCATTTTTTGTTCAGTTAGAGTGAGAGGGAGGGAGGGAGGGAGGGAGGAAGAGAGAGAGAGAGAGAGAGAGAGAGAAACATCGATGTGAAAAGGACACATCGAGTGACTGCCTCCCACAAGACCCCCACCAGGGCTGGGGATGAATTGCAACCAAGGTATATGCCCTTAGCAGGAACCGAACCCGGGTCTCTCCGGACCGCAGGCCAACACTCTAACTGCTGAGCCAAACCGGCCAGGGCGCTACCATTATTTTTATCAGTATTACTTTTATGCCTAGCTCACCTTGTTCATTTATATGTCCTACTTTGTCCCATAGACACTTCAGTTCATGTCCCTGGCATAAGAGCCTTTTTGTCAGTAACCCTGCTGGCCCCAAGGAACAGAGCAGCTAGGTGATTTGTTTAGGTGAGCAGTAAACTTGTGACTCAAACCAAGTGAGTCCACTTTTAAAATCTACCCTTGTTCTTCCCACTGAGATCACATTCTCATTGGGAAAAGGCTGTAGGCTATGCAATATCATTGTCTTAGCATTGGAAGAGTTAATTCTTATCAGCTCCTGTGACTGAAAAATCTTGGCTCTGTTATTTAAGCAGATTGTGTCGACATCTTGAACGTGTGTGTGTGTGTGTGTGTGTATCTCCCTTTCTGTTTTAACATTTACAAGGAAATTGGGTTACTTTTCTGCCAGATTTTGGTTCCCACAGATAATGAAGTCAGTTCAGCGTTGCCAGTGCTCCTTCTCTATCACCTGAGCTTCTTAAGATTGAAAGCTAGCAAAGAGTCTGAAAAAAACCCAAACAACCAAAACATTATTGATCAGTCTTCATTCCAGATATTGATAGTCTTTTTCCTAGTGGCAAGAAATCAGAGACATGCAAGTGTATATACATGAGCATGTGTGTACATATGTGTGTGTATTTGTAGATATGTATATATGTATATATGTGTGTGTATTTGTAGATATGTGTATATACATGCGTACACACACACACACACACACACACACACATATGATAGGCATATTACTGTTACTAAAGCTGTTCCTCAGGAGCTTACTGTGTATCAAGGGGAAATTTCACAGATGTCGTTTCTTCATTTGATCCTACAATAGCCCTCTAGGTCATATAGAGTAGATATTGGTCCTATTTCACAGATAAGGAAACTGAGGGACTTTCTAAGTGCTCATTCCACTCAGACTGGCAATGAGGGGCCTTTGCATTCTTTCCTTACTTTGCCTTTAGATTCTTCTTTGACCAGGGTCATTGTGGTCTTTTGGGTCTCAGAAGCCCCTACTGCCCCAATCTGTAAAGTGAAGAGATTGGCCTGGATAGTTCAAGTTTCTTTTTTTTTTTTTTTCCCAGCTCTAAAAGTCTATGATTCTGAGATTTTAAAGGTATGAACTTAGTTTTCCAAGTCTGGGAACTTTTAAAGGATAGGATTGATGTAGCATTTATTCTGTTGCCTAGAGCATATTGAGGAATGAATGCAAATCTGTCTTACATCAGAATAAAAACAAAAATAAACACAAAAACAAAATATTGATATAGCTGTCTACATAAAGGTTTAAAAAGAAAAAAGTCCATAAATAAAGTTAAAGAGCAAAGATTAAACTGAAAAAAATATTTTTTAAGTATACTATTATAAATGTTAGTATAAAATACTAAAAAAGTACATAAGAAAAGGATGAACACCCCAACTCAAAAGGTCACGAACTAAATATTTACAAAAGAAAAATACAAGTGAATAATAAACACTGAAATGATGTTCAAACTTCTAATAAGCATAATAAAAATAGGACTTAGATACATTTTCTACCTGTCATACTGGAAAAGATTTGAAGGATTAGTATTGATTGGAGAGAAGGTGGTCTCATACATTACCATGGACGTGTAGGTTGGTACGACCCATAGTTTGGTGACTGTAGCAAAGTCAAATGTGTCTACTTCTAAGAATTAACTCCAAAGAATTGGCTGTATAAGGATAGTTTACAAGGATATTAATTTAATTATTGTCATAATAATGAAGAGAGGTGACCAAAATGTCTATCAATGGAGTAGTGAGTAAATTTATAACATAGTGTATATTATGCAGTCATTTTAGATGATGTTCATCTGTATTTATAGAAATGGAAAGATGTTCATGAGATATAAAGTAAAGAAAAAATAACATTTATGTAGAGTATAATCAATTTTGGGGGGTAAAAGTTGTCTAATTTGGAAAGACATATACCAACTTAGTATAATGATTGTGACTAGATGATGAAATGGACAATTGATTTTTTAAAAATCTTTATTGTTGAAAGTATTACAGATGTCCCCCAAGCCCCCATTGATGGACAATTGATTTTTATTGTCTTTATTTTCATTTTTTGAATTTCTTTTTTGTGAAGTACATATATTGCTTATATAATGGGAAAAGTAATAAAGATATTTTCATTTTTGAATTGTATTTGCTCTTAATCAATAGTTTGGGATGTATATCTTGAGCACTTTTAAAGAAATGAAATGTCATGGGACAGAAGTCATTTTGTTAATATTTCAGCATATCACATAAGAAAAATACTTAGAGTATCTATTTAGCGCAATTGTGCATCAATAATTAGAACTCTCTCTTAATACTTGGTATGTATATGTATGTTGTGGGACGAGTGCAGGAATTGCAGGCACATATACTTTTCTTCTTGGGACTTCTGTAGTTTGTCTTAGAGTAAAGTAGTAGAAGTCGAGGAAATATTACTGAACTGAATGCTGAGTGTGCTGGCCTGGGTAGGCTGCTGGCTCATATGAAAGTGAAGGAAGACATCCTGACCCTTTACCCCTAAAAACTCTAATATGCATCTCCTAAGAATAAGAACATAATCTTACCTAAGAATAAGAACATTATTCATATCTAGAAAATTAATTTTGATTCAATGATAATATCTGACATATAGTCTAAATTTAAATTGCTCCAATTGTCCTCAAAATATCTTTTAAAGCTGTTTTCCTCCTAATCCAGGATCTACTCAAGATCCATATAGTGAGTGCATTTGGGTTTTTTATTGCTTTCTTCTTTCTTAATCTAGATTCTAGAACAATCTCCCTGCCTTTTGTTTTATATGCTTTTCATAACATTGACTTATTTGAAGCATTCAGGCCAGTTACCTTATAAAATGTTCCACATCCTAGATTTGCCTGATTGTTTCCTCATGGTTACATTCAGATTAAACATTTTTTTGGCTGGAACGCTGCATAGCAGATGTATGCACTTCTTATTCCATCACATCAGGAGGCTTCTCATGTCTGCTTGTCCTACTATTGGGGATGCTTGCTGTTTTTTAATGAAGGGGAAGCATTATCTTACACACAAAAAAGTCAAGGGTATTAAGAATTTTTTGTATTAGATTTTTACATGTTTCACGAGCACAAAGAAAAGGCTTATTAAGAGAAAATATGCAAAAAGAGAAAAACTCAGGGACACGAACAACAGTGTGGTGACTGGGGGGTGGAGGTGGAGAGGGTATGGGGGATAAATGGTGGTGAAAAAAATAATAAAATAATGAACATAAAAATAGATTTAAATTAAATAAAACTATAAATACTGAAAATTTTAAAAAAGAGAAAATATGCAAAAAAGAAAATACCAAGTGTTTCATTATCTACTGAGAATTTCAAATTCTTCCTTTTTTTTTTTGTTGAGAAAGCATTACTATTTGTTAAGCTACCTGTTTTTACGCCTCATTTATGTAAGTAGGATGTGAGTTAGATAGTATTCTTTTTATTAATGCTAGTGTGGGATTCATAGCCTAGGTAAATATGTACAGCAATTTAAAAAATATTTTTATTGTTTTTTTTTTTTGTTTGTTTGTTTTTTAAGAGAGAGGGAGACAGAGAGAGAGAGAGAGAGGAAAAAAACATCAATTTGAGAGTGGGACATTGATTGGCTGCCTTCTGCATGCCCCCTCCTGGGGATCGAGCCCACAACCCAGGCACTTGTCCTGACTGGGAATCGAACTAACAGCCTTTTGGTGCATGGGACAACGCCCAACCAACTGATCCACATAGGCCAGGGCAAGGCGATTTTTTACTTGAGGCATTTTAGGGCTCAAACTGCAAAATGCCCAAATACCAGCTGTCTTTTCCACTCTTAATTGTTATAATGATATGTTTTTATTTTTAGGTATTTATTTTTAATATGTATTTATTGATTTTTGAGAGAGAGAGGAAGGGAGAGTGAGTTAGAAACATCTATGTGAGAGAGAAACATTGATCAGCTGCCTCCTGCATACCCCCTACTGGGGATCAAGCCCAAAACCCAGGTATGTGCCCTGACTGGGAATCGAACTGGGATCTCTCATTCCATGGGACAACACTCAATCCACCGAGCCACACTGCCTGGGCTATAATGATAAGTTTTTAAAATCTACAGTTTCATTTTCTTTCCTGATTTTGGGCATATTATCTTAGAATAACTGAAGATAAATGTTTGTTGAAACAGTGTTTTGAATGCATTCTTTGCCTTTCTCCCCACTTCTAAACCTCCAGTTGGACTAACAGAAAATGCAAAGTATTTTCTTTTGGGTGACAGAACCCTAACAATCCTTCTTTCCTTTTAGTGGCCCCCCCAAGGACAAGGATGATGCTGGGAGCTTTTGGAGTCCTGCTGAGGCATAACATTAACTTGTTTGAGACAGACATCTTTATGAAGATTGTAGAGGATAATTGGTAATGTGGAGATGTTGATTTTGTTTTTTCAGGGCGTCTTTTATGACCAAAACTGTGCCTTGTGGAAATGAACTTCATAAGTTCCTCATCTGGGATACTGCTGGTCAGGAACGGGTAAGGATACATTGTTGTTGGCTTTCTAAGAAAAATACTAAGTTTACTTTCTGAAGTTTTCTTTGTATTTGGCAAGACTCTAGTGGTTGCAAGTGACAGAAACCCAGCTTGAAGTGATTTATGCAAAAAAAGGAAATGCACTCTTTAGCTATGAGAAAAATGTAAGAGTGGGTGCCTAAGGCAGGGCTGAGTTCAAGTCCTTCAGATGTGTGGTCAAGACATCCAACTCAATTCCTTTTCTTTGCTGGCTTACCTCTAGATTGGCTTCATTAGGCAGACCCTTTTCTTTCCTTCTCTAAGGGGTAAGCAACTCTAGGCCTGCATTCTACCACCTTAGCAACCTAATGAAGGAAAGCACTTCTTTCCCATGAGTTGCATCCTGTATCTTGGCACCTGAGGGTTCTCTTTGGTCATTTGGGTCATGTGCTCCCTCTTGAAATGGATGCTGTACAAAGTTTGGTCGATTTGGCACTCCTACTGGTAGTGCCAGGTAATATATTTACCCCAGAGCTATCAGCTGAATCACATTGGCTGGAAGTCAGGCAGGCTTTGTTCCCCAAAGAAGGTCTGGGCTTTCTTACTGGAAAATGGGGAAATGGACATTAGGTTACCTGAAATAGTAGATGACTTCTCTCTTATTCTTAATTCTTTTTATTTGCTGGAAATACTTATGGAGAAGAATTTTTATTTAAGAAGCTCATGTCTTTATATTTTAAAAAGTGAAATAATGCATACTAATAGACTATGTTTATAACGGAATTAGTGTAACAACTAGAGTGCATATTATCAAAGTTGAAAGGGGTGGTCAGATTAAATGAAGCACAAAGATAACCAATACCTTGTCTTAACAGAATTTTCAGCCTGATTAAAATTTTCATCAAAGCAAATAATTATGGAGTAAGATAGGTTGAACTTTCCCTTGTCTGATCCAAACACAAAGGTCACCTTCTCTACCTATCCCATTTTAAATGTCAATACTTCCTCCTTTCCCCTCCCTCTGAAGCCCTTACCACCTTCTAATATACTATTTAATTCACTTACTTTTTGTTTTGTTTTTTTGTTGTTAATCCTCACCTGAGGATATTTTTCAATTGATTTTTAGATAGAGTGGAAAGGAGGGAGGGAGAGAGAGAGACACAGACAGACAGAAATATCGATGTGAGAGAGACACATCGATTGATTGCCTCCTGCACCATCCCGACCAGGACTGGGGGTCGAACCCACAACCGAGGTACATGCCCTTGACTGGGAATCGAACCCTTTACCCTCTGGTACACAGGTCAACTCTCTAACTGCTGAGCCAAACTGGCCAGGGTTATTCTATTTATTTTTTATTTTTATTTTTATGTATATATTTTTATCCTCACTTGAGGATATGTTTTTTTATTGACTTTAGAGAGAGAGGAAGAGAGCGAGAAATAGAGAGAGAGAGAGAGAGAGAGAGAGAGAGAGAGATGAGATGAAAGAGATGAGAGAGAAACATCAATTGGTTGCCTCCCATACATGCCCCAACCTGGGATTTGACCTGCAACTTAGGTATATACCCTGACCTCGTGAATCAAACCCACAACCTTTTGGTGTACAGACAACATTCCAACCAACTGAGCCACCCACGCACCAGGGCAATTATTGTTTATTACCTTTCTCCCTCAAAGGAAGAGAATCCAGGGTTCAGGACAACCCATTATTTTCATTATCAGCTCCCAGCAAATCAAGTGTGTATTTATATAATTTTCATTTTGTATAAATTTTCATGTTATTTCCCAGCGTTTGTAGATTATTTTCTTTAAATTAGGACACATCTGCTGAAAATGCTAACCTCATTAGTATGCCTTCTATTTTGCTGCTGAATTAAGAGGACAGACTTACATACATGAAGCTACTTACGGCCTGAAGCACCTCTTTACCTCTGTTAGTCCGCTGTGCATGCTGACTCCTGAAATGAGGGGGGAGGATTGAAGAAAAAATGTCTTCTTAGGGACCTCTTTTTTTATTTTAACGTACTTTTGTGTTCTTTGTAGTTGTTCTGCTAGTTTTTTTGTTTTTGGTTGTTATTTAAACGTAAGCAGTGGAGTTTTCTTGCTCCTCTTTTAACTTTTGGGCATGAAATAGTTGCTTTTGCAGCTGCTTTTAATGAGTGTAATAAGTCAATTTTACAAATAGCTGGTTTAATATTAGCAGTACTGCTGCCTCTACTACTGGCTGGTGTGCCCTGAGGGCTTGCTGTGTTTCTTGCTCTGTTTTGAATGCCTCAGTACTAATGCATTTAGTCCTTCACAGCACTGAGGTAGGGACTGTTTTTATCCCCATTTACAGGTGAGGTCACAGAGGCATAGAGAGGTTAAGTAACTTGCTCAAAATTACACAGTCGATAAGGTATAAAGTTGAAATTTGAATCCAGTAGTCTGGGCCCTGAGATTTATAGTTTTGTTCTGATAGAAAAACCACACAAAAGCCATACATTTGAAAGTAAACTTATCCAAAATTTCACTACCCAGATGCTCCCATTCTTGACATTAGATGATCATTCTTCAGGTATCTCACGGTGTGTGTGTTGACATTACATGTCAGTGGGATCATGATTCTTTATAACCTGCTGTTTTCATTTGATAATACCATGTTTCTACAGGGAGATTTCTGTATGATGTATGCAGAGTATTCAATATTTACCTACCTATTCTAATATAATATTTAAGAGGTTGACTGCTTTTGATGAATTTGGTACTCTAAAGTGAGTATTGTGTTTTGTAGTTCGGCCCACTTACTATCTCAAAGCTAAACAGCATTGGGATTTTTTTATATGATGGTACTTCTAATTATTGTAATTGCTTTCCCTCACATTTGACTATTAGAGGTTATAGACATCTGTGACTATATTGCTATGTCTGTACTTTTATTTATTTATTTTTAAATGTATCTTTATTGTTGAATGTATGACAGATGTCCCTCTTTTTTTCCCCCTTGACCCCCTCCTCCTCATTCCCGCCCCCTCCCATCCCCTTCCACACACTATTGTCTGTGTCTGTTGGTTATGCATATATGCATATAGTTCTTTGATTTCTCTTTTCTTGCCCCACCTCCCCCCCCTTCCCTTTGAGGTTTGTCAGTCTACCAACCAATTTATACTTTTTAAAAAAATTCTCACCCAAGGATATTTTTCTATTTATCTTCAGACAGGGTGGGAGGGAGAGAGGGGGAGAGAAAGGGAGAGAGAGAGAAACATCAACGTGAGAGGGACACATCAACTGATTGTCTCCCATAGGATCCTGACTAGGTCCGGGGACGAACCTAAATCGAGGTTCGTGCTCTTGGCCGGAATCAAACCCGAAACTCCTTGGTCCACGGGCTGACACTCTACCACTGAGCCAAACTTGCAAGGGCCCAATTTGTGCTTCTTAATCCCTTCATCTTTTTCATCCATTTCCAACCTCCTCCCATCTGGCAACCAACAAAAAGTTCTCTGTATCTATGAGTCTGTTTCTGTTCTGCTTGCTCATTTTGTTTGTAGATTCAATTGTTGATAGATATGTATTTATTGTCATTTTATTGTTCAGATTTTTTTATCTTCTTCAAGAAGACCTGTCAACGTTTCCTGTAATACTGGTTTAGTGGTGATGAACTCCTTTAGCTTTTTTTTGTCTTGGAATCTCTTTATATGGCCATCAATTCTAATGATAGCTTTGCAGGATAGAGTAATCTTGGTTGTAGGTCCTTTCTTTTCATCACTTGAAATATTTCTTGCCACTCCCTTGTGGCCTACAAAGTTTATTTTGAGAAATCAGCTGATAGTCTTATGGGAGCTCTGTTATAGGTAACTAACTGCTTTTCTCTTGCTGCTTTTAAGATTCTCTCTTTGTCTTTAACCTTTGGCATTTTGATGATGATGATGTGTCTTGGTGTGGACCTCTTTGGGTTCATCTTGGTTAGGACTCTCTGCTTCCTGGAGTTGTATGTCTGTTTCCTTCATCAAGTTAGGGAAGTTTTCTGTCATTGTTTCAAACAGGTTTTCAATTTCTTGCTCTCTTTCTTCTTCTGGCACTCCCATGATGCAAATGTTGGTGCAGTTGAAATTATCCCACAGTCTTCTTAGACTATCCTAATTTTTTTGGATTCTTTTTTCTTTTTGCTGTTCTGTTTGCGTGTTTTTTGCTTCCTCATATTCCTACTTCATGGTTTGTTTCTTGGTTTCACCTACTCTACTATTGAATCTGTGTAAATTATTCTTTATTTCAGTTAGTGCATCCTTTATTTGTGACTTTATCATGCTCTTGAGGTCCTCATTAAGTTCCTTGACATTCTCATGAAATTCCTTGAAATTCTTGCTAAGTTCATTGAGCATCTTTATAAGCAGTGTTTTGAACTCTGCATCGGTTAGATTGCTTGTCTCCATTTCATTTATTTCTTCTGGAGTTTTGCTCAGTTCTTTCATTTGGGTTATGTTTCTTTGTCTCCTCATTTTGGCTGCCTCCCCGTGTTGCTTTCTTTTTTTTCTTCTTCTCTTAAGACTTTTTTTTTTTTAATTAATTAATTTTTGTTACAGATGGTTCTCCTTTTTCCCCCATTGACCCTCCTCCCCATCTCCCCCCCCCTGCCCACAGCTTAATTGTCTATGTCCATTTGTAATGCGTACATGCAAGTAAGTTCTTTGGTCTATCTCTTCCCTCCCCACATCACCCTCTTTTGAGGTTTGTCAGTCGCTACCCAACATCTATGTCTCCAGGTCCATTCTGTTCATCAGTTTGTTTTGTTCATTATATTCCATAAATAAGTGAGATCATATGATATTTGTCTTTCTCTGATTGGCTTATTTTACTTATTTATAGACTTTTTTTTTTGAGCAGTTGTAGGTTCACAACAAAATTGAGAGGAAGGTAAACATTTCCTTTATTCCCTTACCCCTGCCCTTCACACACATAGCCTCCCCCATTATCAACACACTCCACCAGACAGTAAGTTTGCTACAATGGATAAACCCATAATGACATGTCTTTGTGACCCAA